TTATTGCACTAAATGTTACTGATAAATTTACAAAAAATGCTATATATGACCTTGTATTGTTAGTCAGATACATTAGTGTGTCAATAGAACTTTAATATGGTACTTCATGATTAAGAACTTCCTCATTTTCTTCTTTTGGTCTAAAATGATCATTGATAAGATCAAGAGTTCTAATGACCAGTGGATTACTTAATGAATGTGTTTCATTCATTTCAAATCATAGTATATGCAGATTGATGAATCAAAATTCTATTTTCCAAATGTTCAAATTGTATACCAATCGTTTTTTTTTTTAAAAAAAAATCCTTGATTTCAAACTCTCTTTTTAAATATTCAACAGTTTCTTGGACCTCCTCAGGTGATTCAACTAAATTCAAACCGTCCATATATACAACTATTATCATAAATTTTCTCTCATTTTTTTTTATTGTTATTTTTTTATATATATATAAAAACACATGTTTGCAAACAAAATCATTGTCATATCCCTCTTTCAATAATGATTCAGTGAGACGATTATATCATATGCAACCATATTGTTTGAGCTTATACAAAGACTTTTGTAATTTAATAGAATAATATTCTTTTAGTTTTGATTTGTATGTTTCAGACATACTGAATCATTTAGGAATTCTCATATAGATATTACTATCTAACGAGTCATATAAATAGACAATTATGATGACTATCGGACACATCTAAATTTGCATGAACTTTCAAACTAACAAGACGATATGTTATTCCATCAGTTATTGGAGAATAAATTTCATTAAAATCAATTTCAGGTATTTGTGAAAAACTTTAGACTACAAGTTTTGCTTTATATATGACAATCTCATTATTTTTATTTTATTTTAGAACAAATACTCATTTATAGCCAACAAACTTATAATCTTCAGGTGTTTGTATAATGGATCCGAGTTTTTTTTGCTGGTGAATTCAATTTAGATTGGATCATATTTTCCTATTTTGGTCAATCTTTTTTTTTTTCGACATTCATTAATCGATCTAGGTTTAGGATCCTCGTCAGGGACGATAATTTTAGCCGCTGCATTCTTTGCAACTATATATGATCTAATGACTTTGCTGGCGTCACAGAAAACATCAAACAATTTATTTGTTATTCACTGCAATGTACAATTCTTCGCACTTCTAATTTACTTTGGCTATTAAGATGATCAAAAAAATTAAAAGGTAATTTTCAAGTATTTTTTTTTCAATTGATCAGTCCCCCCGCCCCCATGCAGATACGAAAAATTTAGATTTAATCAACATAGGTCTTGCAATTAATTGCATCATTTTTATAAGTGATTCAACACCATTTTGAGCATGTACATACGGTACAGATGCTCAATATCAATTCCAATAGACATACAATAATTATCAAATGTCTTAGATGAATATTCACCAGCATTATCAAGACGAATTTTTTTTATTGGGCGATCTGAAAGCTATGCTCGTAATTTAGTTATTTGAGCAAGCAATCACGCCAATGCCAAATTACGGGTGGATAATAAACATATATGCGACCATTGAATAGATGCATCAATAAGCACCATAAAATATGTAAATGGTTTGCATTGTAGATCTACTGGTTCACATGTATCACAATGAATTCGTTTTTAAAAATACAAGAGATTCATTTTCCACTTTTGCTAGTGATGATCTAGTTATTAATTTCTCTTTTGAGCAAGCAACGTATTTCAACTCTTTTGTATTCCTTTTGATTTTTCAAAGTATGACCATGAGTATTTTTAACAATTTGTTTCAACATAATCTTATCGAGATGCCTAAGCCGATCATGCTAACACTACAAAAAAATAGTATATTTGTAACGGAATTCCCTTTCTAAAGTTCACGTAGCTAGCATAATTTCATCCCTAATTCCGTCTCTAATATCATTAGTAACGGAAAAAGTTGATTTAAGAACGAAAAAATCTTGTTACAAAATTGATATTTTTTTATAGTGTAAATAATAAAATCTGTAGACTTCACATCTACCAGTTTTATTTCAATTTCATTTAGTTTATGTAATATAACTTAGAAGATAATGAAGATAATTTGGTAATCAACAAAAATTCATTGTTTGTCTCACCCTCGATGTCTCAATATGATATCTATTTCAGCGAATATCATTAGAATTTAGCGTATTTGTTTGAGATTTGTTGGAAAATAGTCATTTGAAATGTCAAATTTTACTCATTCGGAGTGAAATAATATGGCTCTTCTGAAGCCTTCAATCAATTTCGTACTACCACCTATTATATTAACATGATTTTTTTTTTTTTTCCACTTCAGGTTGTTGAAACATATTTTTATATTTTAGAATGGCTTACGTTGATGCACTATCTATGCAACAAATTATCTTCAATGTGCATTGATGCACTATCTATGAAACAAACTCTGTGCAAACCCACATTACAAAAAAGAAAAGGATGAGTGTACAAGTTTTAGTTGCCGACCATACCCAAGCTTAAGCGAATGTTTGTGTCTTCTCAAATTGCTTCTTTTATATGGTGTCATGCGGATTATTGGCATGCAAGTGGAGACATCTTGTGCCACCCGTGTGATACAAAAGGTTGGAAACATCTCGACGCCATACCCTTCATTCGGAATGAAGCATAGGAATGGTAAGATTGGGATTTTGGACGGACGGATTTCAACTTTTTGAAATCTTAATGGTCAGATCACGGTTGGCTAAAAATGAAGGGGCTAGGGCTCCAACCCAATCTCATTTCATTCCTTATTTATGGAGCTCAACTCTATTTTTGAAGTGGATTATTTTGTATAATTTTTTTATTTTTGGATGTTTTGTGTAATTTTATTTTTTAAAAAGTGATATAATTTTATTTTTTGAAAAGTGATGTGTAATTTTATTTTTTTAAAAAATAATATATAATCTATTTTTTTAAAAAATGATATATAATTTTATAAATAAAATATGAATTATATATATATATTTAGTGATAATCTAAAAATAAATTAAAGTTATGGTATAATTTATAAATACGAAAAATTGTATAAAATAATATAAAAGATGATATATATGAAATATACTTTTTAGAGTAAAAATTAATAAAATTACTTTTTAGATCAATTGCATTTTTACGGTAGCCGCTCCAAAAACGAAGTAATGAGTCGGAGATGCCTCAAACTATAAAATCTCCATGAAAATAAGTGCTTGGAAGATGAATATATATATCTCTTTCCCTTGTAGTATCACCCAGACTAAACCGAATCTATGTCATGCTATAGAGCAACAGAATTGAAACATTTTATACTTTGTAATTATAAAAATAGAACTATTATGAACTATATATTTTGTCGAATATTTGTCACTTAATATAATCTTTTTAATAGGCAATCTTCCAACTTAGTCGATGTCTAAGTGGAGGACTTGGAGAAAATTACTTGTTTGTTCAATATGCCAAGATTAAACTGTTAGAAATTTTGGGGGAAAATAATGAAATTGTCTTATTATCATCAAAATAAAGAGGCCATACAAAACAGACTCGATAGACTCAAATCTAAGTAATCTAATCTATGAATAAGATCAAATCTAAATATAAATCTACTAAATCTAAAACTGAATATCTAAAATATCTTAACATCCCCTCAAACTCAATTAGGATAAAAGAAACCAACTTGAGTTTGATAAAAAAATCTGAATATAAACACAAAAACAAAAACATAAATAAAAATAATAGTTGACTCTCAATTGGAACCTGAAACGAGATGACTTTCTACCCCGGAGCAAAAAATGAGATGACTCCACCAGAACCGAAAATGAGATGACTCTCCACCGGAGCAAAAAACGAGATGACATTCCACCTGAGCCGAAAACAAGATGACTCAACCGGAGCCGAAAATGAGATGACTCCATCGGAACCGAAAAACGAGATGGCCGAAAACGAGATGACTCCACTGGAGCCGAAAACGACGTGACTCCACTGAAGCCGAAAACGACATGACTCCACCGGAGCCGAAAATAACATGATTCCACCGGAGCCGAAAACAAGATGACTCCACCGTAGCCGAAAATTATAATGGGTTTTAGCATTGTACAAGGCTGCAAGAAGTCTTAGTGGAACCCTTTGATTCTACTTAATTACTTTGATGTTATCCCAAAAACCAGGGCTTTGTAATATTGGATCTCTCTACATATCTTGCTTAATTAGATATTCTCTCTACAAATCATATAATTTAAATGACTGCAAACTAATTAAAAATGAAATATTATATAGATAATTATAAATCAAATCACTTAATTTAAGTATTAGCATTGTAATGATTAATGAATGACTCATAATAAAGAAAGGTGTGGAAGAGGTGGGAGGCTGACAAATTTAAATGAATTGTATATATTTATTATTTAAAAGTCAATATATATAACTGACCAGGATTTCTGCCGCTTATATAGGTGTAACAGATCGAATCAATTCAAATATATATATATATATATATATATTTCACCGATCATCATAATGTATCTGCGGAATTGCTGTGACTGATTGCTGCCTTGCCTACCTATTAATTCAGCATGAATACCAACTATATAGAGAGAGATAATTATAAAATGTGCGTTTCTTTGTGTTTGATTTCGAAAATTTTTATTTAAATTTAATATTAAAATAATATTTGATAAGATATTTTGTAAATATATATATATATTTTTTAAAAATATTAAGTTCAAAGAATACAATTGGAAAGATTTGTGTTAAAAAAAGACTCATCGAAACCATAATCCTATGCGTAACAATAAAATACAAGGAGGTTGTGTTTGGTGGAAAGTTTTTATTAAAAAAAATATATCAAATTAAGCTTTTACTTTTTTATTTTTAATATTATATTAAAAAATAATTTTTAAGTTCCAAATAATACATCAATATCATAAAATAATTATTCGGACCTCAAGGCTTCTAAGTTTTATCTGCTACACATGATTTGTCTAATATGACATGTCTTGTTTAGTTTGCAGTGTATTTGTTGAGAATGTTGACACATTTATATATTTTTTTTAATGATTGCGCTCAAAAGAGTTGCCTACGGTTAAAAAACCAAGATCAAGCCATGTGTAGTTCTAACTGAAGAGCTACAACATAGTCTATGTCCCAATATCAACTGAAAAAGCTAACACAAGCAAAATCGACCAAATAAAGAAATCTACCGGAACCTAAAACTCGGAAGTCCGCTCGCGTCCGCTCTAAGAAACCCTCGGGCCGCTCTAAGAAACCCTCAGGCCGCCAAGGGATGTCTTCTTGAAGGAGAGTCCGTGCATCAGGGAGTGCTCATCATACCTACTAATGAGTCTGCAACTCGGTTGCCCTCTAAAAAAACATGTGAAATCCTCTAGGTGATGTCCCAAAGCCGCAAATGAAGCTGAAGAATAAGGGGCTAGAGCGTCCAATGACCGATCGATGAAGATATCAAGGAGATGTAAGCGGTGGAGTCCGTCTCGATCCACAACGGTGAATGACCTCAACCCACCGCTAGGTCCACTTCCATGCAAATCGCATAGAGCTCGGCAAAAGTGTTTGTCGCTCTATCGATCGCAGCCTGGAGCGTCTTGAATTATACCGGCAGCTCCTGCCGGCCCAGGGTTCCTGATCGATGCTCCATCCCTTTTGAGCTTAAACTATCCCGGGGACAGCGCCTTCCACCACACAAGGATCGGAGGACGAGGGGTTGACGGAGGATACCGAAACTTAAGGCTCATCGCTATATGTAGATCTCCCTCCAAATGCTTTTAGAAAAGGATACCAGAGCACCAAAGTACCTGCAAGTGTAAGTGCATGCGCCAAATAATCCTATTGGATGAAAAAATATATATATATACCTCGACGTTTTACATCATTCCAGGCGGTCCAAGAAAACCACATAATCAACATAGGAATGAAAACCCGAATGCTCCGAGCATGTGTCGTCGAAAGCCTCCAAGAAGATACCATGATGTACGGCATATATGTCTCCGGCAAGGTGAACCGGAAGAGCGCCGCAAAGTGGCTCCATACCTTCCAAATAACCGCCGACTCAAAGAAGAGGTGAGAGACCGTCTCTTCCTCCGCCGGATAATAATAACATCTTGATACTATATGGATCTCATAATGCCGAAGGATATCATCAACCGGTAAACACCGCTAAAATAATCTCCATAAAAAGACCGATATCGTAGGAGTAAGTAGACATGACCATATACCACCCCGGTCATCCTATCACTCGATAATCCATCTATTAGAATCTTCGAGACACGATGAACTAGCGACTCCAAGAGATATGCCCAAAGCGCTCCAAATCCTAAGATCCGCCATACCACATCTCCCGAACAAGTAAAGACGGCGACTACTCTCCTCGATACGTACAACAGGGCTGCTCCCCGCATCATCTATCATATAAAAAATAACAATCACCCTGACCTAAGCTCCAATAGATCCGAGATTGCACCTCCGCACGCACTCCACACAATCGCTTCTATACCGGACTATTGTAATTCCTACATGGAGCAATCCCAGAAAAAGTGCTGCAAAAGTATTTGTGCCTCATAGCTCGCTCCCATAAAGACGAGCCATCCCGGAACCTCTACCAAAGCTTATACGGAAAAGCCTCCACCATATCCGTCAATGTACGAAAGCCCAATCAACCCTCCTCCACTGATCTCGCAGCCTCTGCCCAAGAAATTCAATGTCGCTGACGATGACCATGATAAGATCCCCAAAAGAATCTCGCAAATAATTGCTCCACCGAATGGAGCACCGTCTGCGGCGGCCTAAGAACCTGTAGTAGATAGTGTACACCAGATCAACTTGAGGCATCCTCGATGCGAAAGGACGGATCTATCCCAATTCGCTAAATACCTCTGGAGCTTGCCAAGAAGCCCATCATACAATATGTTTCTCCGATATCCCATATAAAATAAGGCTCTCAAATATGTAAGCGGGAGTTCAGCCTCCCCAAAGTTCATGGCCTCCCAGAGCCGCCTACGGAGCTCCTCCGTATATTGCTGACTCAACACTATATGACTCTTTTGACAGTTCACCTTTTACCTGGTGATCCGCGCATAATCATCTAAAAACTCCGTCAAAGAGCCAATGCTCACACTACCAGCGTTAGCGAAAATCAAAACATCATCCGCATACGCCAAATGCGACAATTGAAAACCACTCCGCAATGATAAAGAGATCCAGAAATTTCCCAAATAATTGGTCCAACCCCTGCAATAACAAGTCCGCTGCCAAGACAAATAAAGTTGGCGACAAATGATCCTCTTTGATGTCCAAGACCGCCGTGAGAACATTGGGGCCTATGATGTCCCAACATTAACGATAAAACGCTGCTGAAAATCTATATGAACCAGCCACACTATCCGCATCTATCGAGAACACCACCTCCCGAACCTCTGCTAATGTCGGTAACGCCAAAAGTCGCAAATTTTCCTCCGGCGGAACTTGCTGCAGCGGATCAGCAAGGTCATTCATCCCCGAGGTATCCGCATCGTCCTCCTCATCAAACATAGATTAGAAGTACCTACGGTCGAGTCCTTTATCTCCAAATGCTTGGATATGATCAATCACCGTCACGCATAAAAAATATCGATGCATGTCGCCGATGCTCCCGAACCATGGAATGAAAGAACCGGGAGTTGTGCTTCCATCCACCGCCCATCGACATGCCGCCTTTTGTCTCCAATACGCTTCCTCCAACGCAATCGCATGCGTCAATGCCACTGCACTACGTTGTCGACGAAGCAAAGTAGCCTCCGATGGATCCCAATCAGACTTCTCCTCACATACCGCAGACTCCTTTTCGGCACCCTCCAATGTATGAAACACATTCCTACATACATTCTTATTTCACCACTTGAGCGCTTGTTTAAGGTGCCCGAGTTTCATTCTCAATGTAAGAAGGCCCGTCGGAAGCCTTACTCTCACAATACCCGTCAGAGCCTCCTAACTCTGCCGCACATAGTCTAAGAAAGTATAGTGATGCGTCCATATGTTCTGAAATCAGAACGAAACCCTGTGGCTCCTGTAAAAAATCCGAACAAGGAGCGTTGAATGAGGGAGGTGCCGAACACGAGCTGCCTCCGCAAGCTCCTCCCACAATGTACTATATAAAACTCGATCAAGGCATTTCTACACACGTCTATTAGTCCATGTGTGCAGCTATCCTTCAAACCCGACATCATGGAGATTGGCATCAAGTATCGCTTCTGAAAAATCCCGAATAGAACGAAGCCCTGACTGCCACGGCTCCTTCCTCTCCAAAATATCCACAATGGCATTGAAATCGCCACTAATCAACCAAGGAGTATTGCCTTTCATGGACAACTAGTTCTTCGAGGTGTTGCTCTTGTTCTACACTTGCCAAATTGCATTCGCTACTTGGAACAGAAAATGGAGTCTTACAACTTAGGACTTTTGGAAGTTAAGCATGAACTTGGTTTGATGGACAGACAACTATTTGGGATTGCACCATCTAAATACTAAACAAATGACACAAATTTTAGAGATTCTGCATAATTTAAAAATTATTTATATCTTTTTTTAATAAATAAATAAATTTAAATACATTCAAAACTTTTAATTTATTTATAAAATTAATTTATATTAATTATAAATAAATATTAATATTTGTTATCTATTTTTAGTATATAAAATTTTATTATTTGCAAATTATATTTGTATTGTATATTTTATTAGAATATAGCTACTACAATAATTAAACACATATTTTAATTTATTTTTTTTAGTCTTATATAATATTTCATTTGTCCATTTTTTGCAAAATCTAGATAAAATATAATTAGTAAATAATTAAAAAATATATTAATATAAATAATTATAAATTAAAATTAAAATAATTAATTAATTTAATTAATATTAAGAAAACTATTAATTATAAAATTAAAAATATAATTAAAGTATATAACGAAAATAATATATTACTATCACAAATTAAATAAATCGTTTTCAATCCACCTTCTACTAAAACATTAGCGCATAACCAAAGGCACCCATAATCATTATGTATGCAACAATGTATGAGTGATTTGTCAACACTAACAACTAGCTACAGCTTAGGTTTATTCACACAAATCTAGCTCTCTCTCTCTCTCTCTCTCTCTCTCTCTCTCTCTCTCTCTCTAGTTCCTAACCAAGAACTGATACTTGCTCAAATATTATGGGGTCGTCATCCTATCCATCAAAACATGTAGTGAATAATTCTATCTCTTGTAAAATTTCTTTCCTCTCAACAAGTCTATTTTCAGGATAATAGCTAGACAATGCAATGAAGCTGAAAAGAGATGCTTGAATTTTACCTATATAATCCGAATTAAGAGCCAAACATTCTGCAGGATTCTTTGTGCAGCTATCTTTAAGCTCATTGGCATAAATTTGTTGTCTGTACACCTGCAAAGATCCCACTTTTCATTAGATTCTTATAAATGAACCATTTCAAGTGAATAACATCTAATGTTCTACTCCAAACATGCCAAATAAGATGCACAAGCAATAAAAAGTTAAAAGACTCGAATGATCATCCATTAACTGTGGTTTTTCTCCATCACCTGGAACACTCTACTTAGCTGCGAAACATTGTCGGCGCTCAGATGGCCGGACTTCAAAAGCTCCCGAAACAGAATCACTAGCTCGGCATTCACATTGCTCGGGGTCACATTTTTTATGATGCTTTGTACGGCACACTCATTGAACACTTTCGCCGCCCAGGAAGGAGACATTCTTAGCAATGCTGCCGCGAAAATAAGAGCTGGCTTTTGATGGAGTCTGAAAGATTTTGATGTTAGACTTTGAGTAGACAAGGACATCACCAGCTCCTCCACTATCAGTCTACACCAATTGTCCTGAGAAAACATGGTTTCGATTTTCAGCTCTTTCCATGTCATGAGAGATGATAAACATCGTGAGCAGTTCAGCGCGACTCTGATGTCATCAAAAAAGATCAGGCCCTCCAGTATAGATGATAATGACAATAGGTAGCCTTCTCTGAAGTTAAAATCATCAGCTTGTCTACTCAGGTTAGCTGATATTCCTTCGAATAGTTCCACAAGACAAAAGGAAGCAATCAGTTTGATTGTAGCTGATCCAAAGTGCAACAACTTGCACAGGTCGCGGCATTGGATGCCAACATAGGACAGTTGCTGCGTATCACTTTCTTCATCGGACAAAATCATGGTACCTGGTAGACTGGCCCGTACACTGTGACAAAAATGAAGTCAGTGTGAGAAGTATGATAAGATGGTATGCTTCTCTTACATGAGTTGTAATATGATTTACCTTCTCAGGGAGAAAAAAACAAGTGAAAGCAGGAACATGAGAACTTCCCCTGTTTCTGTTCCCTCATCACAATCAGATAGAGCAGGTCCCTTCGCACAGGCTTCATGGATTATGGTATTAACTATTGATATCAAAGGAACATTCAAAACTATAATTTTCGAAGCTTCTGTTAATCCTCCCTGAGCTGAGTGATGCAAAATTAGACAAAGTAAGCCAATTACTGTGAGAACAGATTCAGTCCATCCATCCGAGGCCACAACTGGTAAGAGGAAATCCATCAACTACAAAATGGGCAAATTCCTGATTAAGGTTCTTCAGCTACATGAGAACCTCACAAAGATGGCAGATTTTGCATACCTGGAAAGCAATCCCTGCCCAAGTGTCGCTATTAGTTACGGATTCAGAGTGTGCATGTTGCAAAATGCTGAAAGCAAATCGAGATGTAGCCATGAACAATTCTGGGAGAGTGTGTTTCGAAAAATTGTAAAGGTTCTGTAGCACACCATCTATCCCATGAATGCAAAGCTGATCTGCAGTAGTAGGAGAGATTTCAATTAATTCTGCATATGTTTTCAATACTGAAATGATGTCAAACTCTTCAGAAGCACTTTCTGCAAGATCTCCCAGCAAGCATACAAATATCTTTGCTCCAAAGTTGTCTCCAGATGCTATCAGCTCAGCAAGAACATGCAAATCAATTTCTCCACTAGATTCATGATATAATACGACGCAGTTGCCAACTGAGGAGTTGCGTCTGCAGAAGTTTAATATCTGATATGACAATAATTTCCAGAGTCTTTCTTGTTCAAACAGCCATCTCAATGAAGTTAAGTGGATTTTAGTCAAAAAAGAATCCCATTCATTTTCACCTAACAGCTGAAAAAGTCTTTTTTCTGCTTCTGGGCTATAAAGCATTTGGTAACTCATCTTAGCCAATCCTCTGTAAAGACCATACAGATTGACTAGAAGCTCTACAGTCACAAAGGCAGAAGCTTCAGCAAAAAAGTGACTGCTGTTAAGTAAAATGAATTGCTCCAGGGAAGCTAGAACGAGTTTGTCATCGGCAATCCTGAACATATAAACAAAATGTTAAAAAGTCTTATAATCTCCTTTAATATCAATTTCCTGTTTGAGACAGAATAACATTGAGGAGAATGTTTACCTGTCATTGTAAAGAGAAGTTAGGTACAATATCAACAGAACTGCAGATTGACAAGAAAGCAACTCTAGATTATGGGAACTCTCTTGCCCAAGAAGGAATAGCAAATCTGTAGGGTCAGAAGGCAGAGAGAGAGCAGCATCCCTAATCGGTTGCCCAAAATCACTGCCCACAAGTACATCCACAAGTGAACTGAAGATTAGATATACCCTCAACTTCAAGCTTTCTGTAGGAAACAAACCCAAACACCCAAATAATATGCTGAACCATGAAGATGAAACTAGAATCTCAGCAAAACTTTTGGTATCGACGTCAGAATCTTGAAGTAGTATAGTTTGGAAAGTTTCAATCACACCTAAGGCAATGGATTCTTCCTCCAATTCATTAAACACCATTACAAACCAAGGTAGAATTTGAGATTTAAGTATGTCAATGATACAGCCCCTTAGCCTCACACTTTGGGAGGTAGAGAAGTTACCTTCCTCATCAAACACACTTGCTTCCTTTAGTAGGTAAAGGGAATGCAAAATTTGATCAGTGTCTGCATAAATACTTCCCAAACACATTGAAACAGCTGACCTTGATGCATCTATGACTGAGGCTGCCAAGCTTGAATTTCCACAGGATGATGAACATTTCATTATAGCCACTAGAATTAAGCAAGACAAGGAGAATGCCTCTGGAAGCATGCCGATATTTTTCTTAAACATCCCTAACAAAATGCTACTTATTTCTTCTGCACTTGAGGGGGAAACTACTCCAGGACAGTCTTCCACACAATTCAAAATAAGCTTCAGTAGCTGACATTGCACGGTTTGGAAAGGAATTTCAGCTACATAACGAAGAGTGAGAACCATCGTCGAGAACCCAATTGCCAGCCTCTGTCTGAAGGCTTGCTTTGCATTTGATAAAAGATCTAGAACCAGAACTGAAGAGTTGATGATTGAATCTTTGTTTCCTAAATAATCACCAAATCAGAAAGTGAGAAATAAGAAAGATTTTTTATACTGGAAGTCAATGGATACAAAATATGAACAGAAGAGATAAAACTCCTGGAGCACAGGCAAGTAGGTAAAAACACACATATTAATTTGTTTGCACAAGAAATATTGATAGATTATCAAACTATATCAATAAAAGTGAAATGAATAAGCTGATGACAATTTACTACAGTTTTATAACATTGTATCTTTTTTATTTTACTACTTTAGCATCATCATCAGTTTTCGCCTACTGTTCCACCTCACCTGATAATCTCAGTATTTCAAAAATATAATCTGCTATGTTCTCTTCTAGTAGTGCTTGGCATTGTTTCCCTGATACATCTGTTGATGAAAGATAGATGGATATCAAATCCATTGTGGCGATCTGTACTTGACTATCTGAAGAAAGAAGGGGGCCTTTAACTGCCTCAGCAAACAAGACTTCGACAAGTGGACCATCCTTTTCATGAACTGTTAATTGCATGAAATCATTGGTATCAAGGGAATCCATGCTTGCAAAAAACCCCCGACGAGCCAACACCGTCAAGAATGCTACATAGAGTAATAAGTGGTTATGATACACAAATTAACCTGCAAACAAGTACTTTTAAATTTTTTGTGAAATCAAACAAACTAATTAGAATGATTGTGTTAGAAACTACTTAGAAACTGAAATATCAAATCAAAGCTTGCTATTGTCATTCTGGATATGAGTGCCAGAAACAATTCCTCTGGAAGAAAGTCTTAGTCTAATGGATGCCCTGCATAAAAAATTAAAATTAAAAAGAAAAAATACAAATTTCTAAATTAGGTTCAGACTAGAAGGCCATTCTTTCGGAAATCTGGAAAGCCAATACTGTCATGTTTTAAAAACAAGTCTTTCTCAGCTGATTGGCCTTCTTTCTTAGTTGTCTCACAATTGGAGAACAGTATAAATCAAAATTCAGAGGCATGAATCTCTCTCTTTCTTTTTTGGTGAACAAGTTACATCAAATCTTCTTCATACAATGTGATACGTCGTAAGGACAGTTTCATCTGTGACCAGGTTGGCACTAGAAATGGAAGGTGGAAGATAAATCACTGATGGACTGGCTTTAGGGAAGTCCAGTCTACAGGTATCACCATGACCATATTATATTCACTCTCTCTATATATCTTTAGGAATTTCTTGCTAACATTCAGACTTTTATCTTATTCAAAGGCAGGTTGGTGCCTTACCTAGGATTGTTGTTGAATTTGACTCCCAAATATGCACAGGAAAGTTCCAAAAATAAATAAATAAAAAAAAAAAAAGGATAAGAACTAACCCACACAGTTGATCCGAACTTCATCACTCTGACTTTTTAGTAAAACATCAATTGCCACATTCAAAAACTTATTGCAATAAGGAAGTAACAGATCTTCAGCTCCATAATCATCCATGTATTTGTAGTGGAGGAGGGATGATCTATAAAGAACAAACATAATCTCCCCTTGGATTTCATCGCTGCAATTGAGGAGAAAAGCTCGTATTAGGAGAAAGTGGAGCAAGATGCAAAAAGACTGGTTAGTTCATGTTTAAGTAATACTCACTTTGACAACTGTAGTCCAACAACAAGGTTCGAAACTAGTGCATCTTTGTTTTTTATGCATGTGTAGAGATCACAGTCCTGAGTATTTAAGAGGACACCAAAGCAATGGAGCTGCATTTGACAAGGGGAGGGGAGTGAGTTATTACACAACATAGCAAGGCTGAACAATAGAAACCAACCATTCTTCGGAGTTTAAATTCATCCAGAACAAGCTTTTGATATTAAGTTATTGCACAAAATGCATTAAATAAAAACACTTTCTCAAACAACACAGTCATGTGCAAGATAAAAGACAAAAGATCTAAAAATTTGCGAGAATCAAATGGAATTTCCAGTTACAAGCTTATTTTATTATTTAGAAGCATGCTGAGCTCTCGATCTCATAGGTTATGCCACTATGATGTCATGAAAATTTTGTTATGTTAGAAATACACATACTCCAGTTTCATATATACCTTTTACATGCATTTTTGGTAAGCAATTTGCTATATTTTAGACTTACCATATCCCGAAACATTATGCCTAATTTCATAGCAGTGATATAACCTTTAGTTTTCTCAGAAGACAAAACTCTGTAGTCCTATTCAACAGTTAATCTATCTGAGAGACTGGGATGCTTTTAATACCTCCATAATACAAAGATTCACCTAATTTTACAGCTAGAACTTACATATCTGATAATTGAAGCAGAATCTAAAGTTCTTAACCTACAGAGCATATTGTTCATAATGCAAACTCATCCCAACCTGCCTGGTTACTTCCTTATCTAAATCAAGGTGTGATTATTACATTTGCTTTAAAATTTTCAATTCATAAGAGCAATAGCCCTCATTTTGCTGCACTTTAGCTTCTATTGTTGCACTCTCCAAATAATGCACACATACGTATACAACCGCCATAGTGAAATTCTTGTAAACTCGTCATTGTATATATATAACAAAGGTTGGCTCGGTTCTTACCATGAATAGCTGGCGGCGGCTCCAACCCAACGATCCACCTGAAAGCCAATCCGAAACCCTAGAGACAAACTCCTGACGCACATTCTGGCTGCTGCAACCGCCATTGCTGCTGGAGCCATCACACAATCTCTGGATCAGATCAATGGCTTGTGTGGCAGTGGGCTCGTCTTCGAAGTTGGATAAGACAGCGAGCAGTGGGGAGATTAGAAAGTGGGGGTGGAAGGTGAGAAGAGAGTGGAGGAATTGAGGCTGAGAGGCGGCCAGAGAAAGCTGGGAAAGGGCGTAGGAGACATGGACGGTGGGGGAATTGGGATTGGAAAATAGATTGGAGAGGCAGAGAAGGCAGATGGAGCCTCCCTCGGCTGTTGGGAGGATGAGAGTAGAGCGGTGGCCCTGCGTACAAGTTTCCGGCGGCGGCACCGTCGCCGGTGAGGCGATGATGGAGCTCATACTGAGGGTTCGAATTCAAATGAGAGGCGGGAAATTTTTGAAAAAGGGATTTTATATATATGTGTATATATATTCATACACGTGTCTGTGTTTGGTTTGGGTATGTTCAATGTTCATTTTTGTATTTTTGATTTACTAATTTTTTATTCTTTAGAGGCAGTCTATCCCAACATGAAAAATATGGTCAAAGAATATGTTTCGATAGCAATTTTTCGTCAAAACTTGGCTTGTGCTTGGCGCAGACGAGGCACAACAACCCCAACTTTTATTCTTCTATTCACAATTCTTTCTTTATGTCTTTTTCTACTTCTCGTTCTTCTCCTTTTCGGCCATCAAAGGCGAGTGTTTTTTTACGCAAGTACTCTCCCGTCGTCCCCTCCGGTAAGTTTTCTGTCTGTCATTTTTCATTGGTTTGAATCGAATCTTGGTAGCATTTGATTTGAAAAATTGAAATCTTAGCAAAATTTAGGGCTTTGTTGCTATGAATGAGGAGTTTAACGTAATCGATTTGGTGCATATACAAGAGATTACAGGTTACAATTGAAGCCATGTTTGCACTAGCATGGATCTTTTTTAGTTAAATAATTTTGGGTGATGGTGAAATCTGCTTTTGGAAGCATCTTACTGTCCAACTTACGACATTTCTGTGGAAGTTTTTCTAGTAATGATTTGTAATTTTGTAGCGTGGTGTGTTTGTCTATTTGGTATTCAGATGAGAAAATATTGTTTTTAGACAAAAGGCTAGTTTTTTTTGGATGTTGCAACTCATTGTGGTTTATTGTTTAGTGTTGAGAAACTTGAATATGAATTTGGAGCAATATTTGATCGATATGTGTAGAATATCTGTGGAGAAGTCATTCGATTTTGGCTTTTGCTTTAGTTGTTTCTTGTCAAGATTTGAATTTGATGCCAATGGAACTTATTTTAGTCTGGATGTTGTGGATTAGCATCACATACTACGTCTTTAGAAAAATGGCGAAAGCTTTTGAGTATTGTTGATGTTGTTATTGTTTATTTGTGTGAAACCTTCTGAATATACTTTGTCGGCATTTGATATGAAACTCAATGGATGGGATGGTAGTAATGTTATAGTTGTGATGTTGTTATGCTTGTGCAGATTTGCAAGGTTGTGAAATTTATAAGGGGTTCTATGGGAAATAGGGTGAAAATGTTCCTGTGGGAGGGATGGTGTGCTAAGAGTTTCGAATAGCGTCAACAATCCAGGTAGGTTATAATACAGATGTAATCCTTGTGATAAATGGTTATGTTGAGAAGAATATCTAAATGAACAATCGTACCGAGAGTTTGAAATGAAGAAAAATAGATCTTTCTACGCTGGTGATTCAACTACAAGCTCACAACATCCGCGTGTGAGTACTGCTTGTCGATGTACATGTTTAGGCTATGGGGAGAATAGACAAATGGAGGATATTTCAATGCTACTTCTTCTAATATTGGCTAATTTAGTTATTACTATACTAATGTTTATTTGTATTTTGTTTCATTAACTGCATGTAGTAGCTAGTTTGTATGGTTTGTGTAGGACTAGGATCACTTATGTATCTTCCATTTAACACTTTTTCACGAACTGTGGGCGGCTTTATGAAGAAACAATATCTACTTTTGCTACTTGAATTTGTTTAGGGACAACTCCTCAAAGTGTGTACATTTTAATACATTTCTTTTGTGGCTAAAGAGGTACTATAATATATAAGTTCTACAAATAGAAGCATTGGTTTTGGCCTGACAATTTCACTTATGAGCTCGTGTTGTAATGTGAAGTACCCCAAGGTATCACCAATTGAACTACTTGGCAGGTTGTATCTATTGAAAAATACATTTACTTTGTATGTACAATTGTGATGAACCTAATTACTTGGGGTATACATCTTCTTGTTTTTTTATTCATGCAGTTGGCAGGTTAGATCTGTCTAGAATGATGCAGAAGGTTGAACACTCAAAAGTTTTTAGCTTCCTCATTGATCTTCGGATGTGGAATGATAAGAATAAACAATTGATATTTAACTTGTTCTAAAATTTGAAATTAAATAAGCATATATATTTGCATGATGATTATTATATAATTAAATGAATTTGGCATTGTCTTGTTGAAGTGTTAATTTATTGGGTTTATTTTCAAGTCATCTATGCAAGACTATTATCGTATCATACCCAACTAAACTATGTGTGTGGGTGGATGGATGAATGAAGTGTGAAGGGGCTTGTTTGACAATCGATTCTATGTAGTAAGTTTTTTAATTTACTTTGTGTCACTTATATACTTATCCCACCAAATTAAAGTAAGTATAAATGTCATACTATCAATCATGATGATTTGAATTAAGGTGAAATGGATCTGCTTGCTTAAGATGGGAGTATAAATTTGCATATGTTATATAATTATTGATCCATAACAACATGTGGGTTTTAGGATATTTATGAATATTAATAAATTAGTTCAAATTCAATGTTGTATAATTAATTGCCCAACTCAAATACTGATATCCGTTCATGCTTCAATTATGCATCACATCATATCATATATTGTATGTTTGTATGTGGATAAAGACTTTTGTTCTATATATATGTATATAAATATACTTGTGTTGTATTAATTTTTCTTGTAGGTTGATATAAGATTCTATTTGTATTAAGAACATACAACAATGAATTTGCATAAGGTGCAGATAAGATTTTTTTTAGATGTGATGCAATGTAATGACCATTGGATGGGATGACATTAATTAGAGTTGACAATTCAAAAGAGAGCAAGCTACATAAGAACTTCAGTAATAGAATTCAAATAGATCGTCTGTTTTGTATCTTGTCAATGTACATCGCATTTAATAAATATAAAGTAAGTGGACGGGAAATTAAATATATAGGCAGTGTACTAGATGTGTGAGTATTAGGTAACATCATGGTTTCTTAGTGTGTTACAAATGTAGGTAGAGGAGAAAAGTCAAGTTAGATAGGATCGAAGCACAATCACCACATCACACTATTTATTATTAAGATTCATCAGACATCTATAAAATTTATCCATAACCACCACATTATGTTAATTTTCATTTACACTATTATGTTTGTATTTTTTCCATCTTTCCAGTTTCAACAAGATAAAACTACTTTGTAGTTCTCCTGGTTTAGTTTAGATCTTTGATCATTTGGGAGTGATTCTGGTCTATGGACGGGCATGAGATAGAATCCGAGGATGAAGATGAAACAACTTCCTTTTTTGTTGTAGCACGAAGACGTGTATTACACAGCCGTCGTCGAAGACATCAACTACTACATATGAAGCAAGAACAGCGCAAATGGTTGTCCGTGATTTTGCCTGCCATTTCTAACATGGTTGCGATGACAGTTCCAACACAAAGAAATTACATATATAGGGATAGGGAATGAAGACACGAGGATTTGTGGACGGACCACTTGTGTGAGCTTCTACATTTCCCTGAGTCTTACTTCATAAGAAGGTTTCGAATGCGATGAGATCTTTTCATAAGAATTTTTACAGAGGTATGCAATAACAACCCTTACTTCACTCAACGATCGGATTGTACTGGTCGAACAAGTCTTTCTTTCATACAGAAAATTATGACCGCTCTATGTATCCTCGCATATGGTTATTGTTTTGATAGTGTTGATGAAGTTATAAAAATAGGAGCACCAACAGCACGGGTCGCAACCATGGAGCTCTGTGATACAATTATCACAACATTTAAGGAGCAATATTTGCGTGATTTGACCAATGAGAACATAGCGCGACTACTATTTGAAAATGGACAACATGGATTTCCGGGGATAATAGGATCTTTGGATTGCATGTATTGGCAGTGGGATGTGTGTCCTGTGGCTTGGAGAGACCAATACAACGGACGCTATGGATACCCGACACTAATATTAGAGGCAGCCGCCTCCCAAGATTTGTGGATCTAGCATGCATTTTTTGGAATGTCCAAAACTAATAACGATGTTACAATCTTGGATCATCTGCCTCTGTTCAACAAGTAGATAGATGGAACAGTACCGCCGGTTGACAACGAGGTGAATGATAGGCATTATAACTTACCATACTATTTAACGGGTGGTATATATCCGAAACATTTAATATTTATTCAAACGGTGATAAATCCAATCATCGCCAAGGAACAAGCGTTTACAACTACGCAGGAAGCCTGCCGAAAAGATATAGAAAGGGCGTTTGGTGTACTCCAATAGAAATGACGTATATTGGCCATGCCAGGGAGAATACGGAAAATAAGTGACCTCCTCCGTGTGATTACTACGTGTATTATATTACACAATATGATCATTGAAGATGAGCGTGGCAACAACCTACTTGATTGGATTCCAACGATAGAAGATGAGCAAATTTTACTTGAGCGAGCACAATCAGTTGAAGATGTTCGCTTACTATATCGCATTAGAATGGGTAGAATCCGCAAAACGGAAACTAATGGAAGACTACGGGATGATCTCATTAACCACCAATGGATGATGTCGGGAAAATATTTTGTGATTCACGTGTTGTGTTACTAGGTCCAACGAAATGATCTTTGTTGTTAAATTTTTGTGTACTGTCGTGTCGGCTAGTCTTATGTTGCTTTCATGCCGAATTGCAATAGATATCAAAGTTAGGCCTGATGAGCATTATGAAATTACATTTTGTGTAGGTGTTGCCTTGCAATGGAAGAGGCGATACAGTTGTATATATATGGTTTGATGGAAGTTTCATATATAAGTATAAAAGCATTGTCTGAATTATATATATGTATATAAGTGGTTGAATGAAATTTATAAATACATTTATGTAAAATATTGTCTGGAGGTTATATATCTATATAAATGCATTGCCTAGAATATATGAAATATGTCTGGAAATTATATATATAAATGCATTGTCTAGAAATTATACATGTGTATATGTATATTTAAATGCACCGTCTATGTGTTTTGTCCTTTTTTTTAGTATATACATGTATGAAGCAAACAACTAAACCTTCAGAATATGGGTGAAATGAGATATGAATTGTCTGAGTGCGTGCAGTATGGAATAGGATATGAATTGTCTATGTATTATGCATGCATGCAATTACAAACCAAAATATAAGGTGAAATGGGATAAGCATTATCTAGCATCATTCAACAATCATGCAACAAGCACAAAATGATATAAAACGTGCACCATAAAAGGTAGCATTGTATACCGAACATGACATACATACGAGATCTACAAATATACAACAAACACAAAACAAAGATCGAACGTGCACAATTAAGTATATAGCACATTCAAGTACAAAATAAAGATACCTTGCATCACAAACACATAATGAGGTGTTCATTTCTCCGTGGAACACTCATCTCCACTTGTCTCATAGAAAAGCCTTTTCCGACTCTCCATACGTCTGCCACTGGTATAGGCCACATCCGCATTCAGAGGATTTGCTTCGTCAATCGATTGAAAAATTGATTGCAACCCTACAATTGGACAAGATCAGCAAACAAAATCTCAAAATGTTGTATTTGAAAAAAAATAAATATACATACTGTTATAACCTCGTGTGCAGTACTACAATTGCTCATTCTGCATTTTGTATAATTTCTCTTAATACTCGGTGCGTATATTGTTCTCATGCAGTTCTTCTAGTCTTGCTATTGAAGCCATCGGCCTGTCACTCATGTTTTCAAGCTCTTTCATTATATTCACATATTTTTTTCTGTGTTTATTGAATCCTGAAAGTAAAAGTAAATGAGATTGACATAACACGAAATCAAAAATTAAAAAATAGAACCGTAAATATCTGAAAATACCTTCTTTTTAGATCTTTTAGAGACCAACTCATATTCATCATCTAGTTGCACTTGACTTCTTCGATCAAACTCCTCAATTCTGGACCATCTTTTATTACTTGTAGATTCAGGTTTCATCAAACTAGCAGTAATTGTTCGAGCAACCGATACTTAGACTCTTCATGATTCTTTATCCTTCGTTGTCATTGATTATTTGAATTTTTTTCTAGCCTTCGCCTTTTTAACTCCAATTGGACGCTTCAAATCAATTGCAGTCGGCCCGACGAAAGTAATTGAACTTTATATGAACATGTCTAATAAGAATCTCATACAACTGTACAATAAAAGTGGCATACTCGCTAAAATTTAACAATCTTTAAATGACATGCATTTCCTAGTCGTAAGTTCCTAGAATCATTCTTATAACAACCAAAATACTAGTTTTAATTGGATACCTTTTTTTTTTTTTCTTACAAGCAAATAAAGATATACGAATGCATATTAATATAACACAGTAAATAAGATAAATTACTCATGCAATGAAAGAAACCTAGGCTAAACAGTTATATTTGTCAATACTTTCTTTCCCCGGAACAATTACCTACAGCAACTAATGAAAACATGGATTGTGGAATTTAAATATTATTGTTACGTATGAAATTTATAATTAGGTTAAAAAGCCCAAGTTAGAAGAAAAAGTGGGCCTGTAATTGGGTCTGTTACTTTTAAGGGGTATTTCAAGATAATCGGGTAAACTGGGCATTTTTTTTGAGAAAATAGGCAGGTCGGATGGTCTACAGGTCGGACGGTCCGCAAGTCGGATGGTCCATAGGACGATAAGTCTGCGAGTCGGATAGTCTACAGGTCGGAAAGTCCGCAGGTTGGATGGTCCATAGGGCGGTAAGTCTGCAAGTCGGACAGTCTACAGGTCGGACGGTCCGCAGGTCAGTTGGTCAGCGGGTCGGATGGTCTGCAAGTTGGAATGTTTGTTATCGGACCAACAAGTCGGAAAGTCTGCGGTCGGACCAACAAGTCAGATGGTCTGCAAGTCGGAAGATTTGCGGTCGGGCCAACAAATCGGAAGGTCTGAGGTCGGACCAACAAGTCGGAAGGTCTGTGGTCGGACCAACAAGTTGAAAGGTCTACGGTCGGACCAATAAGTCGGAAGGTCTGTGGTCGGACCAACAAGTCGGTTGGTTTGCGATCGGATAGACAAGTCGGTTGGTTCGAATTGTTGGTTGTTGTGGAGGTCGGATGCTGCGGAGAGCGAGTGAGAATAATAGCTTGGTCGGTTGAGAGCACGTGTCAGCAAAAGAGGAGTTAGCAGACGGTTGAGAGGAGGCGTTGTAACCGTTCGGGCGACGGTTCCAAGTACCATTTCTAAAGAATATTTAAGGATTGGGATTTGCAACTGACCGGCATCTTCAATCATCTTCAAACCACAACAAAGTCAGAAGTCAGTGATTCATGATCATCATTTAAATTTTCTGTAACATTCAGTGTTTAAAGATTCATAATATCAGACACTAATTATATCAAATTCGAATATAATTCCCTATTTTCGGATTTTACTTTTTATTGTTGAAAAAATACATCAACAAATATAAATCAGATTTCTCTTAGAACTGACAAACATAGACACAATTTTCAATTACACGTAGTATTACATTTCCAAGAGATTTCAACTTTCACACGGTTTGTAGTAACAAGTATACCCACCAACGTTTGCAATTGCAACCCAACATAGAATTAGATATCCATATTTTCATAGGAACGTTGTTCTTAATTCCTTTCAATTTTGAAAGCGAAGCCAAAATATATCAAAAATTCAAAACATGTGATATTATTCAACCAAGTCCCAAGAGAAATCAACATCGAAACCAAATCACCACAAATTTCTACAGGTATGAAATCCAAAGATCAAGTTCACCCAGTAGTGGAAAAAATTAAACTAACACACCTTACCGCAACAGAAAAAGAGAATGCGAGAGAGACTTTCTTTTACAGTTTCCAAATTGAAAATCTTTCGGCTCTCCGGCCGCACGACGAAGGCAGAACCACCGAGGCGAGCTTGAAGCGTAGGATGATGACGGCCGAAATCGTATGCGGCGTGAGAAAGTTGAGGAAGAATCGCAATGTTGAGCAAAGATGAATGAAATGGGAATTTCTATTCGTATTTCATGAAAGAAAACCTAGAAATTTTTATTAAAAGAAATAAATAAATGGAAGAAAAAAATAACCATTGTATGCAAATTTCCTTTTTCACCCGTCAACGTCAGTCGTCCCCTTTGACACATCATATTACGAGGCAAATTTTTTTTAATATTAATTTAAATTTTTATTTAAATAATATTTTGATATAAATTCATAAAGATAATACAAAATGAATAGCATTGATTTTACTTTATAATTACTACAAACTCTTGGTGTGTTTATCGTTTGATTTTTTTTTATCATTCTCAAATTTTTTCTTTAGAAATAATACTCCATTCATTTCAAAACAATAGTTTCATTTTGTCATTTTTCGTCTAATTTCCATATTTAATAACAAACTTCCCATTTTTTTACAAAATTATTTCCAATTTCTTACAATAATTATATAAAATGAGAATATTTTAGTCTTTTTAAAAACACTTTTACATAAATTGTCAATATAATACTATTATTCTTTAATATTATATAAAATTTATTTGTTTTCTTTTTATTAATAGCATGTGAAACCACCACTGCTCTGTCATATATATGGGTCCAAAAAATGCAAGTTACACTAGATGAGAGACAAAATCGTTCATATTTTTGTTAAGATCTGTTCTTTCTAAAGTTTTATAAATAACTCGGTTAAAGAAAATCTCAGTTATTATATTTTTCGGCAAAAATATATGTTGTTTGTCTTGTATTTTGATTTGAAGAGAAATATATTTTACTAAAATGTTATATAAGTAATATAAAAATAATGAGTATAATATTATTTTTTTAAAAATATATATATGTTAGAGTATTTTTTATAAAAAGAACACATATGTACTTTTTCTGTGAAAAAAAAGTAAGTATTTGATTTTTGTACGATTTTAAATATAGTATGCATAGTTTTTTATAATAAAAAATTGATAAAAATAGTATAATTATTATTAAAAAAAAAAGTCTATTTTTATAATAAAAAAAGAAGTTTATTTCTTTTAATACTTAGGGAATATTATATTTTTGTAAAATAATTGTATACAGATAACTTTCCAAAATCACCGAAATTCCCAAAAGGAACAAATTGTGTTTTAAAAGTTTTAAAAATTAGTAAAAAATTAGTAAAAAATTAATAACTAATTATAAAATTTTGAGGAGTAATAGTTATGCGATGCCTATGTCATGTCGGGTATGACTGAACAATTTTCAGCTTCATTTAAGCATATACTCTACTCTTAATTTATTTTTTTTAACCAACTATTTCATCTTATTTTAACACTCTGTAGTAGTACAAAATAATAAGTTAATTGGCATAAAAGCTTGAATTTAAAATTTAAAATAATTTTAATATAATATGATATTATAATCTAATGTATTGATGATATTAAATTTCACAAGATTTAAATGATATGTTTATATTAATAAGTGACATGAAATCTAATCACTCTTTATAAACAAAATAAGAATAAAAAAGAAAAAGAAAAAAGCATTGAGATTTAAAGATTTGTTTAAATTGATGCAATTAGAATTTAAAACAAAATGAATAGAGAAAAGTGATATGAATATTACTAGGAAAATATAGGGAAAATAAAAAAATAATAAAAAATGAAAGAAAAAAAGAAATGGCAATTGTGTTTCTTTTGACAAAGTTTGAAATTTTTTTATTTGGATTTAATATTAAAATAATATATATAATAAGATATTTTGTGAGAAGAAATAATGTATTATTTTTCGAAAAATTCAGTCCAAATAATAGAAATATGAAGTTGGTGTAAAGAAACACAAATATAGTGTGGGTCATCATCTTATATGAATAAAATGCTGTAACAGCTAAAATACTGAAATGAAAAAGAAGATAACAAAAATAAAAACTCAAATCTGAAAAACCATTTAACCATTATAAGTCTGGACTACTCATCACAGTCCTTTAATTCAATCACAAATAAAAAATAAAATAGTAGCACAATAATTAACAATATATAGCCTGATTACCCCCTGCTCTCAGTCCAAAATTGTCCTGTTTAACTTACAACTATGGCTGCTTTAAATCCAATTCTACTAAAATTACAAATCCCTTCAAGGCTTCCCAAAAGAACCGAAAACTATAAGAAACAGTCTTTACCACATATTGCTCATATAGTAGATGGCCTGCCTAACCTCATTCCTCACAGTTCAAATATAGGTAAATGGGAGTAGTAAAATGACACTGGATTTTTCGATATATAAACCAAGAAACCATTGAGATGAGAAAAGTGAAACTTATACACACTGAACATGCTGCACTTACTCTCAAGAACCTTGGACTGCCAACCGCTGAAGATGATCAATAAAGACTTGCAAACTCACATCATCGGTGAAGATAATGTCAGAGCCAGTGCTCATTTCATGTGCATTGGTGTAGGTTGCGGAAGGGTTCAACTTTGCCAACAGAAATCTTGCCTGTGGATTGCAAGCATTGAATAAACATGCAAATATATAATTGATGGGAAAAAAAAAAGCTTAAAGAAACAAGGAAAACCAACCTTTTGAAATATATATGCAACTTACAAGGATCAGAGATTATTACGACAGAATCAGCAAAAAGGGCAATGATATTATTAATGAGGTTGTTCACAAAACTAAGGCAGAGTTCGAACTTTGAACAAAACATATAAGATAACAAAAGGCATGAGTAATATCCTAGAAACTCATAGAGAAAGTGGCGTGTGGCATAGATAAACATTGAACACTACAGAGAATAATCAGAATATCATACTGAACCAAGACTGTAAGATCCTGTAGAAAATAAAACATTCACATATCTAAATGTACCTTGTTTTATCATAAGCTGCTGCATTGCCAAAAACTATATACTGAAGTTTTATGAAATAGAGTAAAAATGGATATAAATACACCTAACCAAAGATTCTACAAAGTAGAAAGGAACAAGACCTTTCATACAGAAACAGGTAATCATATGCATCCCAATCAGAAAACTGGCAATTTTAATTAAACAAACCTAATTGCAGATCATACAGACACGAAAACGGAAATAATGATTACCTGAGAGCCATGTTGATCACAGACTACAAGTCTAGGTACAGGAAAGCGGTCACGAATTATTAATTGGGCATCATCATGAGGGGCTTGTAACAGGAGGGCAAAACCCTATACCGTCCAAAATAAACAAATGTGTTGATAAGATAAAGCTCACATTGTAACTGCAAAAGATTTGCACAACACAACTATGATCACAAGAATTTTTTGATGGTGCATAGTAAAACTAACAATAGAAACAATCAAGGGTGTGTTTGTTTGGAGGTTTTGATTTGAATATAAAAAATTTTAATTTGAATAGTTGTTTGATGTGATATAAATAGGAATAAATGTGATCTTTTGAACTTAAAATTGATTTTAATATATAAAATAAGTGTGTGGTTTGATTTCTTTAAGAGGCAAATTTTTTTGTGAACAGTAGAAATTAAATCAAATCACCCAAACAAACACACGGAACTTTCAGAAAGAAACAATTTATGGGAGTTACCACATGGAAATGGATTTTGTATCAAGCCATGTACATATTCATGTATGTTTACTAATCAAGATGAAGCAGATCCATACAGTCCTATCATTTCATGACACCGTAACACCTTCCCTTTTATAAGAGTATGGATAATAAATATCCATCCATTCACTATCAACACAAGAATCAGTAAACTTGAAGATATACCTGATGTTCTGGCTGATTCTGGTAGCCCATATTTCTCCATTGAGCTATCGTCATTCCATGAAAAATAACTACACTAAAATATGCATCCAGTAAGAGGATGCGATCAGCTGCAATGGATTGGACATCAAGTAAAGCTGGTGCAGGCAATGAATCAAATGCATATGATATTAATGACGGTTGAATCATGACTGCAGCATTGCTTATATTCTCCCGATTCAATAGAATGCGGAAATAGGCTGTCTCATCTGGACTGTTATTAAATACCTGAATGAAACATAAAGATAAAGATCAAAGTATGATCCAGCAAAACAAAATATAACGACAAGAATAGATATTACTAGCAATTTACCTGCACAAACTGTGATCTACGCAGATTAAACATGAACTGAGGGAACAAAGAAAAACATGGATTTAAAGAGAATGAGGCAGGATCATCTTTTCGGTACTCTCCAAATTTTGAGCATAGACGAATCAGGCTCCTATCCAGCCATCTCGTGGCATCGAACCCTTCCTGAACAACGGAACACCAATCAAAAGTGCAAGAGGTCAAGTAATAATTATATAGAGAATGAAATATTATACACTTTGCTTTCATTCTCTATATGACCAAACACCAATCAAAAGTGCTGTTGAGCCACAAAGTTAAGGATGCAATTGCTGTCAAAGCAAATGCAAATAACGAAAACATACACTTATTGTTAAGGAAAGGATTCAAATATAGGTTTTAAACACCTACACAGTTCTAAGACCTTACATTCTAAATATATATCCTAGGTGCATTTACTTAGGGTCTTTTTTCCCATATGCACCTCGCAGTTCCCAAAAAAATATACTAATTTTCATACAAAACATCACATCAAACAATAATTTCAGCCACAAAAACAAAAAACACACATACACCATGCAAAAAAAGGCTTGCTTTATGGGTTGTTTGGAGAAAATTTTAAATCGAAGATGTTGGAAGTAATGTTTTGAACGAAAAATAGTTATTTTATGTGATTTTTTCTTTTTTAAGGGAAAATGGGATAGCGCTGTAGATTGAATTAGTGTGAAAATATAAATGAAAACACAAGTAAACACAGTACATGCACTGTAAAATATGAAAAGAAAATGAAAAACTTTATATTGAAAGAATCATTTAAGTTACCATAGAGTGAAAATAAAGAAAATTTTGAAAAACTTAACTGAGTATTGAATAATAGAATAATAATATAGGAAGGAGATACTTTATGGAAGAAATGGAAAAAAAACAGTTAAAATTGCAGAAGAGAAAAAAGAATGTTAAAGGATGTATATAATAGAGAAAAAAGATAAAAGAGAATTGTGAAAAAGAGTACAGGTACAAAAAATACTGAGAGCAAAAGTGAAATAAAGGTTAGTTAAAAAATATTGAATGATCATCAAACCCTTTCCGCATAAATATGTTAAAACAATGGATACAATTCAAATATATTGGATAATAAATAGGGGATATATGAAATTTTACTATTTAAAGCAAAAGATGCATGTATAAAGGCCATCAAGTAATGTACTACTTGGAATCGTTTCAGAAAATATTTCTTCCGACTCTTATTAGGAACTCTCCTAGTAATTTCAAATATTGAATGAGCTAGAAAATGAAATTGGGGGGAAAAATAATTCATCGAAGAAAATAGTTTACATACAATTAAAAGCATGAGATGACCGCCTAAACTAGACCAAATCAACCAATCTTGAATTCAGAATTCTGTAGCCATGCAGATAAGTACTCTCGATTTATAATAAGTAGAAAGAAAGATTTTGGATACTTGGATGACATACAATTGAATATGCAAGATGAAAAGATACCATGTTTACTTCATGAATCAAATTCAAGGAAAAACAAAATGCATGCCCCAAGCCCTGGCACGCAAATTACTGAGCAATCGCTCTAGGTGAACAAGTAAATATATTTCACCTTTTTAGTTCACCGACAAAAGAATGTTGTCTCATATTACAAGTTACCTTATAACAGTTTAATTTTCCTTTAATAATTTTGTCAACGGTAAATATATATTCTATTTTCTCAATGATGAACTACATGCATATATACATACAAAGCAACCTAAACAGACCTAAACTTAAAAAAAGGAGAAAAAGGAAAAAAAAAAAAAAAAAGGCTACTAATCTAACACTCCCCTCGAGATAGTGTGTACAGGTCATACGATTCAAGCTTATTTAATATAAAGTTAAGAATGAGAACCTCTAAGGGATTTTGTCAACATGTTTGCAAGTTGATTGTTTGAGGACTCATACCCGGTGTCCACACAACAAGATAACACCTCCTTGACAATGTGACTTCTAAATTGTAATTGCTTGGAAATTGAATGGTTTAGATTAGTTAGCCATGGAGATAATTAAGGATTTCGTATATTCCTTTTTCTTGTTTTTTTGTAGAAAATAATCCAGCAAACAAGAGGCGGCACATGTGGCACACGCATGAATTCAGCGAGCGACTAAAATGCCGATCGACGCATCTTGACATCAATAATGATATGGCAGGTTTCGGAAGGAGGCAGCAAAAACGGAAGAAAAATCTGCTAGAAGGAGAAAAACAGCTCAGGTCGGAAGCACGTGGAGCCGCATGAAGGACAGACAGCAAATGACCATGGGTTGCAAAGCTGGTGGACGGAAACAAGACTGGTGTTGATTGGGTCAAAAAATTACCAGAATAGGCATGAGAGAAAAATTAGAATTTTGGCCAAATTTTAAGGTTTTTGGGCAGCAGCAGTGGTGCGGTAGCTAAAACCCTAATAATGGTTTACTCTGATACCATGTAAATATGTATTCTATTTCTCAACCATGAGAACTAGCACAAGTAAATCTACAGACAATAACTTAAACAGAGTAAACGGGCTTAAACTAACACTGACAATTGACCAATGGTCAGAGCGATTCATCAACTTTGTTCTAACCGATATTGCCATCTCAAGCTTTAATATTCTATCCTCTTCTTGATGAAGATGAAAACTAGAGAGAGAGAACATATTTTATAGTTTCATGTTAGAATTTGCAGGGATGCAAGATGCTTCCCACAGTTACCAAAATTCCTCATAATATTACCTCAATCTCCATCTTGTACGATGCCAGTCTAGCCATAACTACAGCAGCAGCTTCTTGATCAAATCCTTGAATCAAATCCTGTTCAGAAACAAATTAGAAATGACATCACATGAACTTCAGTTTCACAGAATTTCACACTAGTGAGAAAATAATCTGAAGAGTCAATTACAAAGCAAAACAAAAAATATTAACAAGTGTATTTGGAAATAAATATGATTAAATGAGACCATTCTCCTAAGAATTGGAACTTGAAGAGATCAGAGTAAACAACAATTGCGGGTAGCTAGAAAGTGTACGCATATAGTATGGAAAAAAAAAAAAACAATTTGAAATTTCACCTTTGAAAGCTAAACATATTTGCAGACAATAATCCATATATCTATCATTAATGACAAATTATACTAAAATCTAAATTACCTTTGAAACATGCTAGCAGTCATCTTCATAGTCAAAAGTGTTACACTTACAGGAAAAAAATTCAAATACAAACAGTTAATGCTTCAAATTGTAATATTCACATAAAGTCGTCTAGACTTGGTGAACAAACACAATTTCTACTTAAAATTATTTACAAAAAAACATTCCATAGATGTATACGTTGATTTTTAACAAGAAACACAATTTTTTCACATGTTAAGTTGCAGAGAAAACTAATATTCCACCTCATTTCCCAAAGCACCATCCACCCATTGTCTAGTAACAGTTGTGACCCTGAATCGCATCTGACCATCATGGTTCTGATAACTGTGCCCAAAGGGAGCTTTTTAGTGTCAATTTAAGTAGGGGAAATTCAAAATAACATGGAAAAAAGGTAAAACGATGATCAAGCATAAACCATAATTAAGGAACAAGTGTAAATTCATTATAACATGGAAAACAAGTCAAACAATGTACAACATAAATCATTATGACAGACACACCAGCTATCAATATCCTTCCATCCAAATTCAGAATGGACTGACAGCAGATTGGTCACTTTTTTGTTCACATTTATTCATCTTGAAAGATTTTTAAAGTTATATTCCTAAGAAAAGAAAGGTATGCAAACTATCTGTACCTTGTCAGAAACTGTATGTATAATTGAGGGTTTGACCCAGCAGGATCAGACTTTTCAGTCGAAGAAACATCAAAGAAAACAGTCAAGCAAGTATTCTTGTCTAGGCCACATAATCTCCAGGCTGTTGTATTCCCCTGTCCTATAAATGTGCTGGCAACAGCAGGTCCTTTCTGCACAAAAGCTCATAGATCAGTATAAGAATATACCTAGTACCGCAACATTGACAAACTGAAGCCGAAGTGGGCAATTTATTAGTAAGTTATGAACATAAGGAACAAGAACACACCTTCTCAAGTGATGTGCATGGTCCGATGATTCCTTGAACTTTTATATCTTTTGAGCAGTTGATCTCCAATGTGCCACTAGAAAACATTGTATCTTTAATCACTTTCTTGTGAACATAATTCCTCACAATAACAGTAGAAATAATATGCGGATGGATTGAATAGAAATGAAGGATTGGACAATTCAGCAAGCCTCCCCCTTCGAAGTATTGGCTCCTAGTTGTTCTCGTAATGAATATATCAACACCAAAATGGAGGCTTAATAGATTCAAGATGTATCAATTTTTAAATATCAATAGTTGGGAAAATAATTCCACTGAAACAATTGGAATAGAATATCAGAGCTAGTGTTTATAATTTTTTGTGCTGTAGTTTACAATAAAACTTGTGTTATAAAATGTTGTCGCCAAGGGTGTGAATCATGAACTCGAGGAAATATATTAACCAAGTCTGCTGATACTTTTCCAAACAAAACACCAAACATAGAACACAAAAGATTGTTCGTTACAATAGGCAAGCTGAAATTTCCAAGACAGCAACAGCCGCATACCAGAAAGACAATTCTATGGTTAAAAACTCAAGATCTAAATTGTGTCATAACTGAAAAGATAACAAAGTTAAAAGAGATATAAACAGAACTGTCACTCAAGAATCCAAATACAACAAGAAAAGACATTTCATTTAATAGCTATGAGGATGCCTTCCACCAGTCAATTTCTTAAAAGTAAATGCATTAACAGAAGCTGTGTTGACAACTAATGACTATCATTCAAAAGATATAACAAGTTGCCCATATCCGATATTAACAACTTACTTGAATGAAAGTCCAAGATTCTGCTCCCCATCTTCAAAAATGCGCTTGAACGAATCCTTGAAAACAGAATGGCCAAAACTTTCAGCCAAAACTACAAGTCCACCAGTTTTCTCTATAGCTACTTTCATCTCAGCAATGCCGACCTGAAAACTAGCACATTAAGTAGAAGAAGAATTGTAGCAATAATTAATCACAGAGGTACTTCGCAATATTAATATGAATAGATATAACAGCATCACATTATACTTTTCATACACAGTTAAAAGTATTCCAATGAGTCGCTTCTCTCTTGGGACAGCAACACAATCACACTTTAAACGTTTAAAATAGTCAGAACAGGTGACTAATCCATAGAAACAAAATAGAAAGAAAAATAAATAAATAAATAAATAAAAATAAAGAATCTGCAAACTCACATAGATTTCCATTCTCTACAATCTATTCATGGCTTATAGACTATGATTTCCATTATCAGATGAAGCTCCAGTAACATTAAGTTTATACAGCTGTAGTAGAAATAAACAACCAAATCCAACACCAATTCAAGTTCATCATCACTAACCTGATCAAGTGCAGCAGCGAAGACATCCAACACGTGCCCCTGATTAACCAACTGCTTTCCAAGTTCATCGTAGAACTGCACTGATTTTTTAAAGAATGCTGCTGCATCCTTGTCAAGATCCTTATGTGAACGGACTGGATCGGACAAATCTTTTGATACAATCTACAAATAAACCACCCTTTATTGATCAGCCCGATAGTTCAAAGAAACTAATAGCAACTATATCTAAGCGACTTCGAAAGACAAGAAACAGAATTATCATGGATATAAGGGTTTGCTTCAAAATGCAAGACAGACCCTTGAATACATTTGCATGACGTCAGTCTTAGTACTTGACAGAAAAATATGACAACGGCTGAAAGGGGAAGAAGAAGAAAATAGAGCATTAAAGAGAACACATTGGCTCAAAAGACTCAAATGTCGTACAAATAATGGCAAGCTGAGATGCCCTTGAGCATGTTGTCTTTTTCCTGTTAGGACATTTGCCCCATATTGTCGTTGAGTGCAACTCAAAAAATGTTCTGTTGGATTCACCTAGAGCTGGCAAAAAAATGACACAATACGACAATCCCACGAACTCAATGCAAAATAATTGAATTCCATCATTTGGGAGCATCTACTGTGTTTGTGGAACATCTTTTGGTTACCGAGCACTTCTCCCTCACTTTGTCATCTCTCTAATCTCCTTAGTAAACAATCTACAAGACATTCCTTTGGTGCCAAAAAAACAGATGCTTATATGCACCTTTCTATTGCCTGGACTCCCCTATGTTGTGGTTGGTGGAAATCAACTCACACAAGTCAGCATTAGACAAACCAAGTCAGACCTGTATTAGTGCAGTAATTTCTGACCATTTTAGCCATCATCCTCTCATAAATGTGCTGGGATTGCAAACTCAAATGTAGCGGAGTCTCTCATTTAGTTTTTTTTGTTGCTGGGTAGTCCTTCCATAGTTTCTAAGGTCTATTTCTTCTCGTGGTTGTTTCTGTTAGTTTGTCAATCTCCTTAGTATCGTAACCTATAGCTTCAGCTTTTATATAAATTTACCCTCTCCAAAAGATAAAAAAAAAAAACACAAAGAAAATACTTTGCATAAGATCATAGCAAAACTAAAGTAATTCTTACATGAATGTTGAGATTCATACAAAATAAAGTTGGCAAGGTATCAAATAATCTATATAATTTAAAGATTTCGGGTTTGTATACTTATCCCCAAATTTTTTTATATTCAATCACCCAATTTCTCTCAAAGAAACATTACATCCAATACCCATTTTTATTCAAAACATCGCACCAGGCACACCTAACCATTATTTCACCTAAAACTATCACCTCAACTAGACAAACCTTTATTTCACCTCACTTTCGTACAATTTCTTATTATTTCAAAAGTCTATCTAATTTAAGTTGTTCATAGACCATGCTAAAAAAGGTTGTATGAATTCATAATTAAATATAGGCTGCGGAAGTCATTTTAAGTACATTTGTTTGAATATATGCATGGATGCAAGAGGTGTCTTGTGATTTTGGTTTTAATGATTTTTTTTTTTTTTTTGCTCTAGGTAAACTCCCGGCTAATAGCCTGCAAACTAGGTCCGGTGAGGTAAATCACACTAGGTAAACCATATGTAACAAACGAGACATGGAGGCTTCGGGGTTTGAACCCATGATCTTACGATCACGAATTCACCCCCACATTACCAAACCATCTCTTACGGATGGTTTTAATGATTTTTAGATGAAATAGTTGTTGGTTGGGATATTTATTAAGGAAAATTTCTAAGACAATTTTTTTAAAGAAAAAAAAGGTTCGTTCACCCAATACATAAAACACCTAAACGATTCTCGATTAATATTACCCAATAATACAATACCTACACACACCACATCATATAAAACAAATAAGTAAATAATTCTACACAAAATATTATTTTTTTATATATTACTAGCACGCTTCCCAGACATAACATAAAAAACAACTAAAACTAAAAACACTAAACAAACAAACTCAAAGCCTCAGAACAAACCCAATATTCTTCTTCGTGAAATGATCATTGGAATGCATACCCTTTACAAAATACATGGAAAAAAGACGTAACAAAATTGTTGAGAGAGATAGAAAGAACTTGATACTTTATAAAACAATTGCAAGATTATGTATAAACAAGCTACATGGGAGATCAGGAAACCAAAGAGGTCCCTTTATGGTTCAAGACAATAGGAGGAATCGAGGGAAATGTCATAAACAGTGTGTTTGGTTCAAAATATGTTAAGAGGGGAGGGGGTTTTCCTTCCCTTCCGAAAAGGAAAGAAAATGGTTACAAAATTTTCATTAAATTCCCAATTATATCTTCAGTAATTGTAAAGTTAGTTTCTTTTGGGTGTGTTTTTCATTTTTTATGTTTTAATTTTTATTATTTTTTAAGTGTAATTATTTAATGTAATATTTTGCATAAAAAATAGATACAACGGTGAGATTGCATAAAAAAATTAAAAAAAAAAAAACTAAAAAAGAACAAACCCTTTCGCTCACTTCTATTTGAACCAAAAACACTATTACGATTTTAATTTTCACTCGCCTCTTTTCTCTTCAAATGAAATAGAGTATAGAAAAATTAGTATTTTTGTGTTTAATTAAAATGGCGAGGGAAACAAAAATAAAATAAAATAACTTAACAATTATGAGGATATTAATTTAATGGAAAAAAAAAAAAAAAAACCCATTTGCCTTCTCTTCCGGATTCCATGGATTTTGAAAGAAAGAACCCCTTCAAAAAAAATTGAAAAAACAAAAACATTTTTTAAAACATTTTCTCTCCCATCCCCAACTTTTCCCTCAAACCAAACAAAATAAACGGACACAAAATTTAAACTAAAAACCAACGTACAACACTCCTTTCAAATTGGAGTGTAAATATCATAAGTTCCAAACTTGTCACAAATGTACCACACTTGTGATCCTCCCAAAGCCCTTGCGAATAAATCTACAAGTTGTTCATTGGACTGGACGTAGATGACTTGAATGAAATGTTGTTCTCACTTACAAAATGGCAAAACACTGGAATGTACTTATTTATTTCATGGAAGAGTGAATTAGAAGCAATGTGAATGGCCAATTGATTGTTACATATTGCTCCATAAAAGATTAATGCTAAAAACAAATTTTAGCAAGAAGATCCATTAACCCAATTAGTCTATATGTTGCATATGCTATCGCTTGATATTTAGATTCTATGATAGAACAAGCAACAGTAGTCATTTTTTGCATTTTTCAAGATATAAAAGGTGTGTTTGGTTTGTATTTTTTTTGTGTGTGTGTGTTTTGTTTAAATAGTGGTTTGATATGAGGTTTTGTGAGAGGAAAGTGTATTTTTATCAAGGAGTGTGGGAATGAACAGTAAAAACTGAAAAAAGTTGTAAAAAGAACAAACCCCGAGGTTGCCACCAAAGAACATGTAGCAACGAGAAGAGAACCTTTTATCATGTGATCCTACACAATCTACATTTGTATATCCTTATGCTGTGGAATGAACATGATTTTGATATAAAAGACCTTGCCTTGTGGTCTTTTCAAGTACCGCAAAATTCTAACTACAGCATCCCAACAGGTTGTTTGAGGTGAGTGATATCATAATTTAACTAACAAAACATGTGGCAAAAGAAATCTTTGGGCAAGTGACATTTAGATCATAATTTATCGAAAAATATCCAATGCATTCTTGAACTTCGTAAGTCTTCTCCTTTCTTCACATCAAGTTTGACATTTGACTAAATAAGACTATCTATTGGTTGGTTTTGCACAAGTAACCCAATTTCACTCAATAGATAAGCATATAATTTTATTGTGATAAGCAAATGACCATTTGGAACAAGAAACCTCAATACTGAAAGGGTAGCTAAGTAACCCAAGATCTTAAGATGAAACTTGAAATAATGGAAAGATTTCATGATTGTATTCCAACATCACCACCAACTCTGACACCCCGGCTGGCAAGCTACGCAAAGTCGGGTGTGTCGGGATCGTAGACCGGCCCTACGGGCCAACACGAGTCCTTCCAGCGCACTTCTGTCCTCATTCACGCACACTCTTGGAGACTTCCCAGGAATCACCCATCCTCAAATTACTCCACGGGAAACACGCTTAACTCTAAAGTTCTTTCAGTAGAACTTCCGAAAGGAATGTGCACATTGTTGGCATAAGTAGTCTATTCAATCCATTTGATTACTACTAACTCTCAGATGGCCCGATACCGGCTCATCTACGGGAATTAGCCTAGCACCACCTCAACTCCGGGGTATTACACCAATAATCATAATACCATCAATGTAGACAATTACTAGAATTATTCCAGCATTCCCACATCAATAGAAAACCAAATGATCAACTTCACATTGTTCTAACCCAAATCCTTTAATGATTGTGCTAGACCACCCAAACCATACTCGTAGTGATTGCTTTGATCCATGCAATGCTTTAATTATTCAACTTGCAAATACTCTAAACAACAATCCTAGTGGTTGCTCTATATAAATGGTCTAGTGTAAATCATCATAGAGAAAACTTATCGGGACAGGTTGACGCAAAGAAGTAGAAATATGACAAGCCATCAAGTTACCTTGATGAACTATGAATGCCATAGAGAAAAGTTTGTTCTTTGATTGCTTGAAATTTCATACTCTTCATGATGTTTAGAGTAATAAAGTGATGTAATCACCCCTAAGAAAGTGGTTGCAAGAAAGCTTTTCTTTGACCATCAACAACCCATTGCAGGATGCGTAGCACAAGAAACACATTAGACAAAAACCTCAAAGTGAAACTAAAATCACATGGATTAAAACTGAGAATAACTTCAATCAATCAAGAAAAAAAAAAAAAACACACGTTGGGACTCAAAATGAGAAAACACATTAGACAAAAACCTCAAAGTGAAACTAAAATCACATGGATTAAAACTGAGAATAACTTCAATCAATCAAGAAAAAAAAAAAAAAAACACACGTTGGGACTCAAAATGAGAAAATAAGTTGACCAACCGAAACCTATACAAATTAACGGCCGATGAATGGATGTGACTCTCACGCATAAGAGTGTGTTTCCAAAAACACGACTAATGTTGGCATGGCCGTCGGTAATCATTGAAGTGGACACTGAAGTCAATTTCTATATTGGGATGACAAGGATTAATTAAAGAAAATCAAATGAGCATTAATGGCACGGGATAAAGTAGAAGAGAAAAAGTGATGTTAAACTCGATACGATGTTATGAGAGATAGAGAAAAGGGAAGATTATATTCACTCGAAGTTGATACTTCACATACAATCGCAAGAGTTTTTTATAGACAATCTACAGTAAGCTGAAGAGATGAAAAGAATAGGTGGAAAAGATTAAGCGTATAGACACAAGATTAATCTAACAATTAAATCTAACAAGAATAAACAAATGAAATGCACAGGTTGGTCATCTAGTTGAAAAATCAAGAGAACAAAGTCATGCAAGAAAGAGGATAATCCCGTAACTGCATTTTTCTTCCTTTTAATTAGGAAAATGCTTCTCTTTGATTTCTTTTTGGCTTATCCATCCCAATCTTTTCATTTATGTTTCAAAGTTCCTGCCCCAAGTTGTCCAAAAAATGACAATGGACAACTTAACCATGTTGATTCAACATTATACTCATTTTTAAGGAATTAAGACATAAAGAGTCATCTATCAATGTCATAGATTTTATTACAAGCAACAGCATATCTCAAAAAGTGCCACCAAATAATATAATAGAAGAAATCATATATATCAGAAAAAGATTCAATTGACAAATCCAGCAAAGGTTTTACCACTCCAGGACCTTCTGTGCATGGACCTCCCACTAGTGCAACAATCCGCGCACCAGTTCCTGCTGTACAAGTCCCCAGCAACCCTGCCGCAACACTCAGAGCAACTCCAGTACACCTCAATGACCTATTCCCTGGTGCCACTGGCCATTGATCCGTGGCCAATTCATCCAACAACTATACCAAGGAATAGGCAAATAAAAATATGAGCAAATGATCAACCCAAAGCAAATTAGGAAATATTTAAGCAACTTTCAGACCCGGGTCTAACAACTAAACTAATCAATGGGAAAGAATGCAAAACATTCCTAAGTAGCTAGAATGTCAACATATACATACATCCATACCGAATTCAAGGTATATTCACATTCAGAAGCTGGCAACAAGAATCTATTGATCCCCGCATTGGGGCCACCTCCTGCCGCAGCAGGACTAAGTCCACCACCACCTTTCGGAATGTTTGGCCCCATCCGTCTAGCACCAGAAGCGCCAAGTCCTAACTGTTCCAAGACCTGATCTTTTGAGACATCCTTGGATCCTCTAAACACATAAACCTTAGACATCTCTGAAAACCCCAACTCATGGACCTGCACCTGTGTACCATACGAAATTAATCCAACCATGGCACTATCTGGAAGCATCCCAATGGCGCGTTTCAGCGCCGACTTAGCAAACTCCAACTCCTCCTCGAGCATACACGTATCCAAAACAAACAAATAAATCGGAGGTGGGGCGGCAACAGGATTGTAACCCTGCGGATTCTGATAATTCTGAATCGAGTACTCAATTGAGGGGAAATTAGGGTACAATTCGGCCGGCACATTCGTCTCCGAAATGGACGAATAATGCTGCGGAAAATGGTTCCTTTGAAAACAAAAGGGGCAGATCCACATGCGAGCGGTGAAATCAACGCGGCAGAACGGGTTCAGCACGGCGGAGCACGTCTTGCATCGGAGGGGCGGGTAGGGAAGCACCTGAAGATCCACGTGCGGGCGGATCGGCTGAATTGAGGCTGCGATCGGGATCACGCACTTGGACGCCTCCACCTTCGTCCGCGGCCAGCTATTCCACGTCATCCGGACTCCTTCAATCCCCTCTGGATCGGTCTGGGCGAGCTCCGGCGCAGCCATGGGAAAGGAATATGGTACAATTGAAGCAGAAGAAAGAGAACAACGGATGATCTAATAACTGAGGTGAATTCCACGTTCTTGGAAAAGGATTTCCGCGGAATTTCGTGAATTGGGCGACCCCAGATGACAATTTAGAAACGGGTCGCACCAACGGACGGAGAGAGGAGGGAGGAAGAACGACGTCAGAGGGGTGGGGGTGCGTTGTCTATCACTGTGTAGGAGATGACGGAATCGAAGGAGGCAAGCAAGCCACAAAGACGCAGATTTCGATGATGATGATGATGATGATGATGTAGCAAACAAAAGGTGAGTCGGTCTGCAGATTTGCTAAATTTTGGGGTCAAATGGATTCATCTGAGAGTAAATCCTGGGAACCCTAAAGATGATTTTCCTTTTACTGGTCCAATTTGGTCATGAATTCCCAATGAGTATTTTTAAAATTTAAAATTACTGAAAATAATTATACAAAAAAAATTATTATTTAATAATTAATGCTAGTTGGTCTCACTACAGTTAAAAATATTTTGAATGTTAAATACAATTAAAAAAAATGACATCCAAATTATATTATTTAATAATTATTAATTATTAAAAATTTTACCGATTTCATGCTTTAAGCGGCTATGGACAGACATATATAGACTAAGCCAGTGAACATATAAATCTACTATTCATACTTGAAATGAACCTAGGAGAGAAGAATGCAAAGAATTGGGAATTATGAAGAAAGGGTGAGAGAATTGGGTGCGGAATGAAAAAATTCAGCACTAATTTGATGACATAGAATTATGTTAATTATTTTAATTAATTATATAAATTAAAATAATTAATTCTAAATGTTCAGCATGGTCATTTTTTCATTCAGCACCCGATTCCTCCCCGACGAGAAGAAAATATGATGAGAAAAAGAAAGATAGAATCTGGTGTGAAGATTGTATATGGAATATGGATGAATGAATGTATGTATGTATGTATACATATTTATATTTATAATTATTACATTTAGGGTGTGTTTGTTTAGGGACTTGGATTGGATTTACACTATTTATCCAATTTTATCTAATTTTTTCTCTCAAAAATATCAAATCAAACATCTATTTTTTATTTTTTATATTATACTAAAAATCAATTTTATGTTCAAAACATCACATCAGCACCTATTTATATCACATTATTCAAATTTAAAATTTTTACTATTCAAATCCCAACACAAAATCCAAACACCCCCCACCACACCCAACGGCTAGTTTGCTTGCATGCTCAAGCTTCACTTTTACTTTTCGTCTTCAAATCTCTAACTAACAAACTAATAGCCCATTAACATATATTTTAAACAATTCATATATATTAGAAGAAAATCCCAAATTCATTCATTCATGAATTAATTCAACGAATAATTGGTTGAATTCATAGTGCCCTTTTAAGCTATCGAAATTGTATGATTTTGATAATATATATATATAATATAATTATTACTTTTACATTAGAATGTTATATAATGATTTGTTCTAAAACTAAAACATATGTTTTTATTGTTTATAATTTTGTAGGTTTATTTTTGGTAATATATATTACTATAGTTTTATTTATTGCTTTTTGTTCATATTAAATTTCCAATTTAAAATAATATTCTATGAAAGAAATATATGTATTTTATAGAAAATTATATGAATTATATGATAAAAAAAAAAATTGAAATAAAATTTCAAAGTAAATAGACTTAATTATATAAAATCACATGGGAACTTACACTACAAGAAAAAATTATTTTTGTAACAAAATATTTTTGTCTCTAAATCTAATTTTTTCGTTATTAATGACATTGGAGACGGAAATATGAATGAAATTACGTTAGCTACGTGAACTTTAGGGACGGAATTCCGTTACAAATATATTATTTTTTTGTAGGGTTACAAAACTAGTCGTATGTACGTTAGAAATTTAATTAAAAATTAAATATATTTTCATATTAGTATATGAATATTTTTTTACTAAAAGTAGAAAATAAATATTTTTAATGGAACATGCCAAAACAATAAAAATATACTTGTTGAAATAGAAAAAGTAAACTATAATGTTAATAATATATGCAAACCGTGTAACGCACGAGTCACCAAACTTATCACACTAGTATTAGGCAAAAATCACCAGACTCACCACACTAGTATTAGGCAAAAGAAATTATATATATACATATAATTATGGTATACTGTTGCAACTGAACATATAATCTCAAATTTGAAATTATTGTTAACGTAAAACCAATTTATCCGTATAAATAAAAATGATATGCAAAAAAATAATGTCCATAAACTGTATAATTAACATCAATGAAAAAATATCCTTATGCAACATATAAATTATAAGATGCTCAAATTATAAAATATTTATTTTTATTTTCTTAGATATGACAAAACTATTTTTAATAGATTGATATATTTTGAAAATAAAATAATTTATATGTAATAATTAATCATAGTAATTATTTTAAATTTATAAAGATAAAATTATAATTTAGTAAATAAAAAAATACTACAATAAATTATATTTATATATATAATGAATGATTAATTTTTAAGGACAAATAAATAATAAAAAAATTAAAGTAAAAGTTTTCTTCTAAAACGCCGAAATAATTTATTTGAGTGTAAAAAATTCTTTCAAAAACTAATTGACTAACAATTATGTAAAGATAAACAATACAACATAATAAAAATAGATAATACATAATTATACTAATATAATTTAAATACAATAATATATCATAGTCTCAAATAACATATAATATTGGAATAAATGTCACGCAATATAAAAATAGACAATACATAAATTATGTTAATATAATATTACAACTGATTATAACATAATAAATATAACAATGCAACGCAACTATATACTTTATTAACACAATATGTATTTTGTTAAATAAAACATATGATATTTGATTAATTGTTTAATATATTGACTAGAAAAATAAGTATGGTGTTGATTTGTCCAACCATCATCATAACCATTTCGAAATATAGACGGTCAATATAATAACAATTTATATATGGTGTGTTTTTTTTTATCAAACTTTGAAATATTCAATTTTGTACATTTTGGTTTAATTTTTTTTTTTAATTTTCTTTATTAATTATTGAAAAATTTGACGATCTCATGCTTTAGGCGTTGGAGGCTGTGGAGAGATATATATAGACTAAGGCGGTGGATATATTGAGGTGTTATTTATACTTGGAAGGAGCCGAAGAAAGAAGAATGGAAAGAGTTGGGAGTGATGAAAAAGATACGATGGGGGAATAAGAAGATTGAAAGGCGACTGTAAGTTGAACGTGGAGGAGGATGTATGTATGTATAACATATTTATACTTACAATAATTACATTTAATAAAAAAATATATCAACGGCTAGCTTGCTTGCATGTTCGAACTTTCACTTTTACTTCGTCTCCAAATCTCTAATTAACAAACTAATTATCCATTAATATGTATTCTAAACAATCTATATCTATTACTCCCTCCATCCCGGTCCAAATGGACCCTTTGGAGTTTTGCAGTAGATTAGAGTGTGTTTGTTTGGAGATTAGATTTTAAATAGACTGTTCATCCCATTTTTTTTCCCCAAAAATATCAACTCAAACACCTATTTTTTATTTTTTATAATATATTAAAAATCAATTTTACATTCAAAACATCACATTAACATCTATTTATATCACATCATACAACTATTCAAATTCAAAATTTTTACTATTTAAATCCCAACTCAAAATCCAAACCTCCAAGCAAACACACCCTTAGTATTTTATTAATTAGTCGAAGTGTCTAAGAAGTTTAAACATTTTTTTCTCTTTGATTTTATGTAAAAAGTATTGCATGTGTAATGATATGTTTATAATTTAAGTAAAAATTAAGTGTATTTTGGTATTGGTGTATGATTACTTTTACTATATATTTTAAAGTGGAACAGACAAAAGTAGTAAAAATGATACTTTAAAACGGACGATAGAAGAAAATCCAAATTCATTCATTCATGAATTAATCCATTATCTTATTTCTATCTTTCGAAATACATAAATATATTTTTATACATTTAAAATACTCTATATTTTATAAGTTATTTTTATTAATTATTTATAAACATATATATTATTTTATTTATTTATATTATATTATATAAATTTTTATTTATACAAAGTAGCAATCATTTTAATTATATTTTATTGAAATAAAAATTTAAAAATATTTTAAATTTATTTATAATAAATTGCATCCTAATTGAATATACAATCAACTTGCAATCAAATCAGGATGACTAAAATATTCGAAATTCGATTTGAATCATAATGGAATTTATAATTTTATTCAAATTGTTTAGATTTATTAATTGGATTGAATTAAAAATTTTCTAAAATTTTATATTTTCAGATCAATTTACAAATCGAAAATCCAAAATATATTAATATATTATAATAAGAATATGTACACGTTACATGTTTGGTAAGTTCTTATTTGAGATTTTTTGTATTTAATAATCTTTGGGAGGTATATGAATATTAGATAAGCTTTCTATATCTTTTTTAAACGCTGATTTTGGGCATGTATCATTTGAAATGTCTTAGTATTTTTTTAGTATTTCAATCGCATTCTATATAAAATTTTGAAGAGATAAGCTTACATTTGAAAGTATGACAACCTGGCTATCTGAAAACCAAGTTCTCGGGTCGTGATCCCAAAAATTACGTTTGAATTTCGCCAGCCAAAAGTGATTAAATCATCTGCTAAATAAATGAAACCTTGTTTCATTTTTTCTTCAAAGGTTAATCACCTTGATCTAAGTGGGAGGAAGATTGACCATCCATTTTTGCATCTGCTAGATTGGACAATTGAGAATGAAAGTATTAACTAGTTGTTAGCTGTCAATAACCGTCAATATTTTAGAAGCTCTGTCAACGCCTATAAATAAGGGTTGATTTATTTCTTTGTAATAATTTCACGTTTCGTAAAACGCTACCACTTTTAGAAACATAATGAGCTCAAGCTGTAAAGGCTCCAAGTCGCATAGCCCGGATGGTTGGCAACACCCGAGATAGGAGTCGTGCACTTAACCATCCATCACATTTTCTTTTATGTACTTAGATAAATTTACTAGCATAATTGTGAACTTAAATTTCTTAATAATTAATGAAATATCATTATTCTCTATTTCTTTAATCTACATGGATTAAGCATATATAAGACAGTTGTTTCACGAAGTATCTCACGCGAACTTTGACTAAGAAGCAAATATAAGTCACTTAATCTAATCAAGT